AGGCTAGAAGGGACCTCAGAAGATCATCAGGTCCAGTCCCATGCACCAGGCAGGAATGATAGGTGGGATCAGGTGACCCCAGCAAGATGACTATCCAGTCTCCTCTTGAAGATTTCCAGGGTAGGCAATTGCACCACCTCTGGAGGGAGTTTATTCCACAGTCTGGATGCCTTAACTGTGAAGTTTTTCCTAATGTTGAGTCTGAAATGGTCTTCCAGGCATTTGTGGCCGTTACTCCTGGTTCTCCCCAAGGGTGCCCTCACGAGCAGTTGTTCAGCCAGCTTCTGATGTAGCAGTAAACTGCTATCAAGTCCCCTCTCAGCCTTCTCTTTTTCAGGCTGAAGCATCCCAGTTCCTCGTATGGCTTGCCATGCAAGCCTCTAATCATATGGGTGGCCCTTCTCTGGACTTGCTCAAGTTGTACCATGTCCTTGTTAAAGTGTGGCACCTTCTTCTCCAGGTCCTCTATCCGCTTAGTCTCTGTCCCACCTCCCTTAGGAGGGCTCTGTATCTCTTCATGTTGCTGTGGATGACCTCACCTTGGCCTCTTCCCACTCAGCCTCTAACTGCAGGATTTGGCTCTTCAAGGCTGCTCTCTCTCCCTCTATACTTGTGGAGGTGGTGCTCAGCCTTCACCTGCTCTGACAACTTAAGTCTGTCTTTTTGAGAGGCCTCATACTGGGTGGTGAGTCTTGCCAACTCCTTAGTCAGTCCTTCTATTTGTTGACTCAAACATCTAGCTCAGTGGTTTTCAAACCTGTGGGTCTGCAGACTATGTCTAAGGGGTCCACAAAAGATGACCACGATCAATCAAAAGTATGCGACTACCCACACTTACAATTCAAAGGCACCTGCACCTCCATTTGAAATTTTCAAAATTCGAAATTTTCTGCACCTCCATTCAAAAATTTAAGGGTCAACAAATGAAAAAAGGTTGAAAACCACTCCTCTAGTTCCTCCACTTCAGACTGAAGCATTCCATCTCTTATCTATTCTCCCCTTCAGCTGATTGATCCTTGCACCACACTTCTGAAGCTCCAGACCCAACTGCCTGTTCAACTCCTGAACCTCTTTTGTCTGCTGGGCTGCTGTTTTTGCTGCCTCCAGCTGTTCCCAGGATTCAGCCAAGAGTTGCCTCAATGCTTATTTCACATAATACTTCCTTCAGGTAATTCTGACGTTCAGAACCAGCTGTCTCCAAGTTCTCCTTTAGCTGAGCTTTCAGGGATTGCACTTTGACTTGGGACCTTTGAAGCTCCTCTTCAGATGCAGTTAGTTTTGCTCTCCACAACTGCTCCTCCTTCTTCACACTTTCCTGCAGAGCTTGGAGGATTCTCTCCATCTCAGTGAAAGTGGTTCTGCATTGTTCACGTGCTTGTAAGATGTTCTGAACTTCTTCTGCCTCTTGACCTTAACGGCTGAATCAAGCAATTCTGTTTCTGCCCTCTGTTGCTTCAGCACTTCCAGGATCCTCTCCTTAAACTCTCTTAGCCACTCAGTATAAGTCTGCTGTGAAGATGCGGTGACCTCTAGGAAAACAGAAAGTAGTACTTGTTGTGCAAGATCCTGAATTGCACCAAGCTGCTGCTCTAGCTTATCCTTCATTTTAGCAGCAGCAAGCAGCTTTTCTTCACAGGCTCTCTCAGTTATAGCCAATGCTTCTACTGCTCTCAAGGTGTTTTCATGAAGGCCATTGTTTTCTGTCTTCTGCTATTCGATCATCTCTTTTAGTAGGGTGGCTTCCTTTTCAAACAAGGAGACTAGGTCAGGTTTTTCCTTGAGTCTTGACTGCAGCTGGCTCACTTCTGCTCAATTGGCTGCTTCTCTTACCTGCCCTGTCCTAGAAGGGCTTCAATAGATTTGGTCCTCTCCATGAGTTGGGTGTTTTCAGTACTGGTCTCCAGCAGCTTTGTTTTCAAACCATCAAGTTCCTCAGATTTGCAGCTTGCCTCCATTGCAGAAGAAAGCAACTTGGCTTGAAACTCAGTGAAGCTCTGCTGCTGCTCTTTTACCTTCTCTGTGTGTTGGTCAGCAGGCTTTTGTAGCCAGTCTGGATTTTGCACAGCTCTTTAACCCAGATTTGGGTCTCAGTAACCTCTTGCTAACCTCTCACTGAAGTATTTTTGCAGCATCTTTCAGCTGGAAATACTTCCTCTGCCAAGTCTCTACCTCCTCATGGAGCTCTTCCTCTCCCTCTTGAAACTCGGCTTTCTTTCCAGGCATAGGCGGTAAGGAGGGCACGGGGAGGGCATGTGCCCCCCCTAAGATTGGCCCTTGCTGGCCGGGGAGTGGAGGCGCTGAGTGAAGCACCGGGCGGTGCCCCCCACCCTGAGAAGCACCGACGGCATGGAGAGAAGTGCTGGTGGCACTTCCAGTTTTGCCGCCAGTGCTGCGATTGGCCGCTGGGAGACCACCCCCCAGACAATGGAGGTACCAATTGCCCATGTTTCCAGGGCTTCTATAGTTCCTTTTTGCTCCTACCCCAC